ATTGTAGAGCTAACGAATCTTAATCTGGCTTTTCCCTAAAATTACTTTTTCTAATGTTTGGCTTAACATGAAACATCATAACTCTTCTGATTTCGAAGATATCATTAGGATTCCTTTTTTATTTAATAGCAAAAGTCAATTCTTGTGCCTAAACCTGAAATGGTAATAGAAAATACATATTATCAATAATGAATGGCTCAGTTAATCGACAATGTTGTCAGTGATTTTTGAGACTGTACAAGTCCATTATCAATCTTCAAATTTAGGTTTAGGCACTAAAGTACAACACAAATAATCTTAAAAAGGAATCACCAAAAAATGTATAAAGGTTCATGAGTTGTTTCAAATTATACCTTCATTTTATTTGGGAAGGAAAAAGGGCATACCAAATGAAATAATTGAAATAAATTTTTTATACCAACAAACTTTTCTGTTGCAAAAAATAATTTTTTACAACTTTTTTGAAGAATTTAACACGCCAAAATCATTTCTTTTTTATAAGTTTTATTGCTGTTTACATGGGGGTAATAAATGTAAAGAAGGGTGAAGGCAGCGTTTTTACCCTTGTATATTGGGTCATAAATGAGTGGAATACTTTCCCTACAAGCTGTGTAAACAACACAATGTGTCTGGACTGTTATTGCTGCAGAGTCGAGTAAGTAAAGGAACAACTGGTGTGACATCGGTGATTTTACTTTTACTCATAAGATTCTGCAGTATGAGTTCATGACTACTTGGCTGTCTGGATGACGCCACATTGTTGGCCGAAAGGCTGACATTTTGCCTGTCCTGTTGCGCTTCTCAGCCAACGACACATCACCCAGACAGCCAAGAAGTCAGTGATTTCACTTAATGGTGATAACAAAGATTTGGATAAGATGATGTGATTTAGGATGTGATAATGTGGTAATTAGGGAATGGAATTTATTGCAACAAAAAACATGAAATACAATAAAACCTGTTTAAGGTGGTATCTTTGTGAGAGGGAAACCATCCTGGAACAAAACTATTTTAGAGATGAAAATTACCTCTATAAGCCAAAAAACTGTAGTGACCAATGCAGAAACAAAGTTTTTTTTAGAGAACATGAAGTGATTATTACCTGGCTAAGATGAAAATATATTTTTAAATTTTCAACATTAACTTTGGAATGGTAAAGTGAGAAGGATCACATCCAAAGACAATAAGAGTAAATGAGTTTTTCCTCATATACTTGCTGTCAGGGGATCTTTGGCCTACTCTACAACTGTTATGTTGCGACTGTCACACTTCGGTATGGCCTTCGCGACTTCCTTATTGCCCCTCTGAATACTTATGTTCATCTGCCACACACCGTTTAATACCCAAAAGCGTCGCCAAGTTCCCTTCAGCCAACAATGGAAATCAAGGAATTCTATTTTGTCATCCAAGTATATTCTACATACGATAAATTTATTTGTAAAATGCGAAATAAATGCTGATCTTATATTTTCCTTGTGTTTTGCTCTTGATACTTTTATTTCTTGTAATATTTTTCATTGATAAATTATGATCCATTTTCATTTTTTTGTTTCACTAGTAAAATTAAGGCTCCCACAGACTGGCATGAAGACCCACAACCTACACGGAATGGCTACAGTGGAAATTTCCAATCACGTGTTGCCTTATGGGCCATCCATAAATTACATAATGCAAATTTTGAGTATTTTTAATACTCCTTCACCCTGTAATGCACACGTAACATGCGATTAAACCCCCTCATAATTATGTAACCCTTACGACAACTCCACACCTCAATGTAAATGCAAAAACTGAAAATAAATTATAGCTAAGTAAAAAAGAGTACTCATTTCATTCAGTAACTTCTTCTAATAACTTCAAATAATTTTGTTTTAAAACGGATGAGATAATATTTTCATGATTTAGTATGGAAAAAAAAAAAAGTATTTCAACAAATGATGTTACATAACACTAATGGAATACTCTACTACCCCTATATAACTCAGAGTAACGCTACCACAAACCCCCTCCCCCTCTTTAGTGCGTTATTTTATTTATGGATGCCCCCTTAGGAATACGTACAGACTTCTGCACCAGGCAAACATCATGGCAGCAAATTGTTGCGTTTTATGATCTGCAGATTTTGGAACGCAGTCTGATGCGTTTCAAATGCTGTAGCTCGAGTTTCATGGAAAAGTCCACCCCCTTCGGGAATCTTCTTTGCTACCCTTACATTTGTTTATCAGAGGAGGAGAACCGTCACCAAACGCGTCATAATGGGCACTCTGGTGTGAACTGTCCGCACTGCACCCTCTGCGGATCTCCAGTGCCGGTCTGTGGGAACCCTTACATGAAAAAATGCTTTGTTATATGTTGAATTTTTGGCAATCCTCTGTAAGACGTAAACATTCCAATATACATTTTCAAATGAATGTTCTGTCTCAGACTGCTTTTTTGTATTGTGTACATTTATATATTTAATCAAAAAATATGCTAAACAAACAAAGAATGTGTAAAAAGCATATGTGGTGCCATATGAACATTTTCGAATTTTTGAATATCTACAATCAGACCTTAAAATGCATTTGGAGCAGTGGAACAAACCTTCTATCTCTGCAAAAGTTGCAGAAATTTGACACTTTGCTACGTCTTTAACAAATGAGTTTTATACAACATATAAGGTACCGATGTAGAATATGCAATGTATACAAGAAGCATGAGAAGGCGTGATGGGGTCTCTAGGCCAATGACCCCATCTTTTTTGGGTTTTTTGTCCAGTTTCCCTGGTCCTTTGAGCAAATGCTGAGATGGCCCCTTGTTTTGCTTCTGGACAATAAAAAATAAATGTAACTTCACTCGCTGCTCCCAAGAAGTATGCGATTGCACTCCCTGTAAATACATCATATTTGACTTGTCATACACGATTGTGACTGAATATGTAACTCCACAAATTCCATAAATATCATCATCATCATTATTATTATAACACAGCAAGTTATGGCTTGCGAGGAGTGTCAAAGGGGACCATGCTCTACCCTAAATTTAACATCATTTAGGTTGTGTCTGTAGCAACGTTGACCACAGGATCCCATGCTTTGAATCCTGATAGTTGTGGGTTTTCAACACTAGCTACCAAGCGGGTTGGAAGCCCAGTAAGATGCTTAAAGCTTATCCTGGTTGGGGCAGAGCCCTGCTGCGGGAGATATTTAGAGGATGGAAGCAAGCAGATTTGCATGTTTGAGCTACTCTCACGTTCTAGAGGAGCACGGCCACATCCTGAGATATATCATTCCTCACACTTACGGGACAAATCATCTCCCCAGTTGACACACACAACAAAGCAATAAACACTTGCTCACATCAACATTTCAATTGAACTCAATTTATTGATCGCACCACATTCCAAAGGAGTTCAGACCAAGCACAAGAGGGTCTTCAGTCTTCAAATACTGACACACACATGCGCACGCACACATCAACAAAAGTTGATTCCAGTAACATTTATCAGGCCAACTCCTGCCTTAAATATTAAATTTCAACATGTAAATTTATTAAAATATAATAAAATGTGTAGTAAGCAGTAAAATATGTAATTGTACCAAAATACGTATGTAAAAATAAAAATTGTTTGAATCTTAGACCTGTAAAAATATGTATTTACATGGAAGTCCATTCCCTCAAGATAACTGATGATAAAAATATTAAAATGGGGCTGTACATGGGCCATGTTGAAAATAAAACACTTGTCCCCCAAATTTTAGAAATGATAATTCTGCATCTAGCAAGAAAGCAATAGGGCTTGAGAGCAAGGGTTTGTTTTTACAAATACCTCTTATAGTGAGTTGGTCAGATATCTTCAGCATCTGATATGAAAATTCCTACTACGTAAGAAGATAAGTTCCACAAGGGCTCTCTCTACATTGCTTGCAGATAAGAGTACAGGTCTCCATAAAGAAGGTAACCACGAAAACAATGACCATAATTATACTAGTTTTTCCCTGTTCCTGGTAAGTATCAGCTGTTGACAGTTTCATCCAATTGGGAGCATGAACGCCACCATAGTGATCCAACTCCCGATTGGATGAAACAACCAACAGCTGATACCTGCCACAAGCATAGTTGCTAAAATTGCAGTATAATCCAAACACATACCAAAATTTACTTCCATGTGTCGACGGAAACAAAATGATAATGAAGAATAATGTTTAAGGGGCACTTCAAGATCTAAGGTGACAGTCATGTCAAATTATCTACTAAAAACATATCCACAGTGAACACAGTCAGCTACAAACTTTACAAAATATAAATTAAAATGCATAAAGAAAACCAAGAATGTACTAATGAGTTTAACTAGTAGCAAAATGAAACACGTCAGAAAAAATTCCACACGAACACAAAATTTGATAATATAAAATTTGATCCTGTAAAAAATTGAAAAGGTGTAGAGAGAATTCATGGTTACCAAGTATCTCTTCCATAGAGGAGGTAAAGCAATGTCTTAGACAACTGTCTCTTCAGAGAACAACAGTTCTGTATCTAATGCAGATAAGGGTCTGTAGAGAAGATAACCAAGCGACAGGTGGTAATGTCCGATATGGTGTAGAATCACGTGATTAGTAAGCCCAAGATTTAAGAGTTCTTTATCCTAACGAGTTTAAAATCAGAGTTTTGTGACAATAAAATGGACATCCTGCTTTGTCATTTTGGACAGAACCACTAGTGCAGATAAAGGTGTGGTTGGATATGTGGATTTTATTTCCTTAAGGCATATTAGAAATGTACTGGGAGAAGTTGACTTAGGCAAGTTGGACACTCAGAAGTAATTTCTAAAGGGAACGGAATTTCAAGGGTATTTCACAGGTATTGGCAATTTATAATTAAGCTTCTGCAAACGTATAGACACTAATGCCAGAGTACCTTGTATATATGTTGTACAAACCCTTATGTGAAGGATTGCTACGCTACAGTATCAACGACTGAGAATTTCACACCATAGAAACAGATCAGAACGTCTTGTCTACCTCACAGGTAGATCTCCAGCCTGAGCCAAAAGACATTTGACGCAGCTGATGTGGTACACACCTGTGCTGATAAAAATGAGAACATCATGGGCGTTATACAAAATTTGGAGCAACAGAGAATGCTGATTCATACCCAACACTTCCATAATCCAAACCAGAATGGATGTTCCTATACAACCTAAAGAGGCATTCACACAGTGCACCCACGAGGCACCACTAAAGGCGCGAAGGAGGTTCAATGGAAGCAACTTTCAAGTGTCATGACTTGTTTCACTTTTGTGAGGCCGTCGAAAATTGTAGCTTTGACCAAACGAAGTGAATGCCTCCATGATAAAGGGGAGTGGAAGTGATAAATCCAAGAGAAAAAAAGCATGCAGCTGGATTTTGAAATCGGGAACTTGAATACTCTTTTCTCATACCATTCATGCAATCTGATAAGTAAAAGTTGAAATTGAGGCGGTAGCTAGAAGAAGGGCATATACTCCAAAATTGCGTTTATAGAAAAACCCATCGCCAAGTTTTCAGTCATAGCATTCTACACTCTAGATGCGTACATGCAAATTACGTATTATTACATATAATATAAAATTGCAAATTACATATTATTTTAATATATAATAATAATTTTTAAGTTTAATTTCATGTAGAATGTAATTGAATTCTCCTTAATTTCAAACATGTGGCATAAAGAAAAAATGTGTTATAGGCCCCCCTTCTTGAGAACACTTTACTTTTATTATTGAAATGGTGTAAATTATTAATATTATTAAATTTTAATTTCCTTTTATCATAAACTGTTAATACAAATCATAGTGCGATTAGTTATTTTTTTACCTCACAGTTACCCTTGTGAGCTATCAGATTCTAACTCACTTTCATCGACATTTCCAGTGGATACTTTCTCAAGGAGTACACTCTTCAAAAAAGTTTTGGTAAAATTGTTTGCTCTCTTACCTTAAGTACCCATATAAGTCGAATGACAGGTTGAAGTTCAATATTCTGGTGAACTCTCCTCATGTAATGGTATATTGCTCTACCAACCTAATGAATGGAGATAAAATCATGAAAACTTGCTTGAATAAAAAGTATGCAAAATTCATTCCTGCAATTCTCCAGAAGAAGGGCTCATAGTCCAATGAGCCCCCCTTCTAGCTAGCGCCTCAATTATCTTTGAATATTATACCTGCTCATTAAAGAGCAAAATTATCCTGTTTTTCAATTGGTGACTGGAATATAGCTCATCAAGATAGATGTAAAAAGACCTAATGACAGGAAATTACCAGGAACAAACCTAAGTCATCCCTGAAGTCCCCAAGAATGTAACTTGCAAAGAATAGGATATGCATAGGATGGATGTTAACAACTTTCTTTGTTGAATGAACCAGATCAGAGGAGAGTTTTCCATTCGCTCTAACAGTTTACAAATGTAGTTATTGGGAGATTGGCTGATAACTTGCGGAGATTGTTCAATTCTTTCCTTGCATACTAATTGAGATGACAATGGCTTCAAAGCCCAGGGAAAAAGTGCTAAACCCAAATTCAATTGAAGAGGCTAAAGACAAAATCGTGTGCTTTACAGGGAGAGGTTTTAACAGGTTCATTGAGCACTACATTTTGTGAGAGCAAGGGCAGAGGGAAATTTTTGTGTTCTCCATATAAGGGATTATAATGTTCTTCCAATGAATAAATTTAAAATTTGACTGAGGGGGGGGGGGGAGGGGATGGAAATATTTCATTAGGATATTTGGTGATTTCTCATCTTGTGTGACAATTTTCTAATACTCAGAGTGTCACTGCTTATAGCACAGCTTTATGTCTAGCAACTAGGAAGAAAAACCAGTATTCACGTGTGCCATTTCTGTAGAGCAAATTTTTGCTGCTCCAGGAACTCTTTTTCCACACACTCAAGAGAAGCATCTTTGCTGCTACTGGTCACTAGTTGACCCTAATCTGAAATTTAATTTCCATATATCCAGAATCTCTCAAAAGGCTTGATAATTATTTATTAAGGTGAGGCAAATGGCCGGTATCCATGGCATTATCACCAGACATGATAAAAGTGATTTATGATGAGGCTTTTCTCCTCCTCACTATTAATTCACCTAAGCACATGGAAGTATTAATGATAACATATAACATACTATTTAATGGTGAAATTGTTTATGTTCATTCACCTTTGGAGTCATATAAAGAATACATTGTATTCTTTATACGATTCAAGGTGTATGAAGGTTTTGTATACTAAAGTAAACTATTTGGCCACCTCTTTCTGACAGTGCAAGTGGGACAATGAGGGATACTTTTGCATTTTTTATTCCTTGCATTTTATCACAAATTGAACACTTTTAAACCTCAAGGGAAATGGTTCAGCTCCCTTCTGGTAACAGACCACTTAAAAGCTAACTTTGCAAGTTCAATTTATAAAAATGTTCTTCCTTTGGCTGTAGCAAGGAGAAGTCTTGTCATTCATCTACGTTTGAGACTATCCAATACAGGGGACGGCTTAACTCAATGGAGGTGAGGCAGGGAATTCTGATTCATCAATCTGCCTCGCCTCATTTTATTTTGTGTTATTACACGAAGTTGAAAGTAATAAATAAGAAAATTGTTCATTTTCAGATTAGTCTCAATATATGAAGTTGTGCTGTGTTGAGCATCATCATCATCATCATCAAAATAATAATAATAATAATAATAATAATATATCGCTAATAACTACACATCCTTCCCTTCTCCTTCAAACTGTTCAGAAATTATTTGCTTTCGACCTTGCATTCAGAATTTTCTTCCGACAACTTCTCGCTTAACAATTACCTGAATGTAATCCCCAAAAATTTGAAGTACAAATTTGGAGTCATTTTAGAGAAAATCTTGTTTATGTGATATTTTAAATGCCACACATTTCATGCAATTTGTGCAAAACAACTTAACGTTTCAAAAAAATGTACATGACCTTAAAGAAAGAACTAATTATGTACAAATGTGAAATTTGAAGGAAAATCTATCTACAATTTTGTAGTTGTAGGAAGACCCCTAACAAACAAACATCAACATTTGCAATGTTTGAAAATTCAATCTTAACTGTGGAAATTGGACCTATGCCACCTAAGTGTATTTTACTCTATTTTTACAAAAAATTTTGGAGCCACTTTTGAAAATGTCCATGGGGGCTTCATAGGCATATAATAGTGCTCATAGAGGGATGTACATTTTGAAGAAGAAGAAGAAGAAGAAGAAGAAAGGAAAAAAAAAGAGTAAAGAAAGAGAAAAGGAATGAAAAAAATAAAAGGAAACACTTTTACAGTATTGAAGTAAAAATGAGAGGATGGGGAAACTTCAGTGCAAAAGAAGGAAGTTCACTGAAGGAAGCATTGGAATTTTATTTATCAAGTTGACATATCTGAACAAAACTCAGCTGACAATAATGCAGCCAAAATCATGATAAAAAATTTGAGGCTTTTGTCAAGGACAATGATATGCATCCAGACAAAATCTATAACATTGGTGAGTTTCGGTTAACAATATGCTCCCAAATAATACTTTTTCTGCAAGAGATGAAAATGTGACCGGTACAAAATTAGCCAAGACTGACTATCGCAACACACAGTAATCTAAATGGCAGCCACAAAATGTCATTGTCAATAGAAAATCCAAAAAGCCCAGGGTATTTAAACATTGATATCATTAATAGCCAGGCAATAAAGCAAACATCAGCTAGAATGGAGAGTTAGCTGTTTAAAATGTGGCTATCTAAAGTGTGTACCAGCAGTAGAAAAAAATTGAAAGTGAAAAGTCTGCTGATCTGTGCAGTCTAGCTTAACAATAGTGCTCTGTCATCCTACTGCAAATGAACTCAAAATGGGAAACATTACAATAGTTTTGAAATTTCAGCACACTCATTAGTGTTGCCTTTGGATGCTGCTCAACGAATTTCATCACATATGTATTACATTCACTTTTCAAATGATTTTATGCAGGTTCATGAGTACATACATACATTTATTTTTTCAATATAAATAGTATAAATGTGCTAATTTATTTGTTTTTATTGTTTTTGTTTATAATTTATCTCATTTGACTTTAACCAACAATCTCCTGGTCACATAGGTGACTTATGAAAGGTTCAACATCAAAAAAGGAAGTCTAACTGAATATACACCAGCTACAAGTACTTTCTGCACACCAGCTAAGCATATCGTCTTGGTTACATGTTTCTTAATGTAGTTTTTTAATAATATATGCTAATCAAGTAACATCAAAAATATACATGCTGTGTACTTTACAAGAAGGAAAAATCAAAATGTCCAATTACACACAAAATAAAGTAGCTGCAATTATTTTGCAAAAGGTTTAATTTATATTGATACAGTACATTGCAAATTAATTGGGGTCTGTTCAGATTTCAGAATGTACGTATTATCCAAGAAAATGTACCATACATATATAAATATATCTTTAGGATTACACACAAACACAATGCAACATAGCATGCGATGTGTGAAAATGACAACATAGCGTAGGGATTGTTTTATCACATGGCATCATTGAGCAGATTCAGTTCCTTACAGATTTTTCAAGTTCCTCAAAGGGAAAATTACTACTACATAAACATGTGATATACACTGTAGTTACCAGTGCAATAAACGTTTCATTTTGACAACTTTATTCAATTATTAGTAGTTCATTTCTACAGTAATTATTATAAAATCCTTTCTTTACACTACAAAGAAGCATTTTATTTTTCCTCTATTCTGAATTTTGTTTGGATTATCCAAAATTTCGGATATGCGGGGTTCAGATTACCGGGGTTCTACTGTATATATATTGCAACAAATATGGTTAAGAGATTATTTATATAGATTACCCAGGCTGTGAATTTAAAGAAAAGAAATATTTAAAGAGGAAGTAGAAACATAGTTAATATTTTGCCCACAAATTCCAGTTTTTAACCTTAAATATCATTTTAAGAAAATCCTACACATGGTTCCAATGTTCTACACATATCAAAATACCGGGGGAAAAAAAGAAAGAGAGAGAGAGAGCAAAAAAAGAAAAACACCTCAACTTAACAGGAGAGACAGCATCCCACAAATAATTTTAAAGTAAGAAACACTGAATCAGAGGAGCCTTCTACCGTTTAAGCAGGCATAACAAATGTGTGAATGCTGAACTGAGCAATGTCCTTGATGAATGTGACAACTCTTCGCTTTGCTGTCCTCTTTCGCTTCAATTATCATTATTTCAATGGCTTATTAGCTGAAACGATCAACAGTGTTCTGTATATATAGAATCTCACACCCTTACTTTGCTTAACTACACTGAATATCCTCTTGGCAACATGCAGCTTCACTCATCTACTATAATATTTGAAAACTTGGATTTAGAACTAAAATCAATAGGTGGGATGTCTGTAATGCATTTCAGATTAATAAAATATTAGAGAATTTGTATTTGCAGCAGCAAATTGTGCAACTTCGCACCAAGATATTAAAGTACCCTTAACTACAAAGTTTTGTTTTGTCAACAAAGGCATTTAATAATTTAGATCATTAATGTGAACAAACAATATGACTTGGGAGGACCAGGCTCTTTGTCAAAATAACTGAAATCCGCAAGTCATATTGGACATCTGGTTTTCAAAATGTTTGTAACGCTAACGATTTCAACACCACCTTACATAATTATCATATTTTTTGCTGATCTTTATACTTGAGCAACATTAAATCTTAATTTGATCATTTATTATTTAATTAGACAAAAGTAAGAGGCAAACTAATTATTAATCATTAATATGTGCACGTTAATACTGAACAGTATACACCTGAAACCTTATTAAGCATACTTCCAACACAAAGACTCACAGAAAATTCTTCAAAATGTCCAGGATTTGGTAAACAATAATACAATCTTATCCACACACAATACCACATCATGAAAGTGCAAAAAATAACCACAATAGTGGTGAATCACACCACGGTTATTGATAATACCTAGAATAAATAAACTTTCACAATCTGTTATCACTAACTGAAGTTTGAACTCCAAGTTATGTAGCTCCTAGTTTGTTGAAAAGGAATATACCTGTATGTCAAGAAAGCACACAAATATTTACATTCATACTACACCTACTAGTGTTGCTAGGCAAATGTCTATTTCTTGAGCAACTCAGTCATGCATTATAGTCTTGTTTCTCATCATTCGTGTGTTAATTGATTAATGAAATATTGGTTTTGTTACTTTATTTCTGGATGCCTATAGTTCTTATTGGTTAGTGATTGTTTATGCAACATTATGGGTCAGCTTTGTAAAATATTTTAATTATTTTCTGTGCATTAACAAAACGTATTTACTTAATATGTTGATGTTCACTAGACCACATAACTTTCATTAATATAGTCTCACTTTCCTACACTTTAAGTTGTACATGTTAAAAAGAAAAAAGTATTTATAATCTCACCTGGCTTTAGGAACACTTTCCTCAGCTTCACGTATTGCAATTTCCCATTTAGGTTTGGATGCCGGTTTGACATGAAAAGCAGATGAATATTTTTTATCTTTCTTCTTCATCTGAAAACATAATCTATTACAAAAAATACACCTAAAAGTAAACAAATTGCAGTCAAACGCAAAACCATTTGTCTCTCAAAAGCTAAATTAATGTGTCAAACTTTCCAACGCAGAAAAATGTGAACTACATTCAATACATGGACAGTAAAAGAAAATTGCAACTTACTATAAATAAGGATCACAACAATAATTATTCATTCCGTTGGTCCTCATTCACTGCTGAAAAACATACCTCATTTAGCACTTTCTCTGCAAACTTATGGAACTGATCAGGGCCCTCATATTTAATGACACAACTAGTGGGAATCCAACTATGTCGTCCATTGTCCCCGAAAAACTGCACATGTAAACTTTGTTGAACTGAATTCAGGCCACGTCCTACTCCTACCAAAATAAATTCCACGTGATGGGCAAAATCATTCCAAAACAAAAATGAAAATTCAAAATAATACCAACTTTAAAATATACTCACTTTTACTCTTCGTATAAATGCCAGACACATGGTCAATGGCAATAATACAAGGCCAAAATGGATGTTGACCAACACGACCCCAAGCTAAATCACCAGGACTCCATCCACCCTCTTTGGTAAGGCTTGCTATAGCTACAGCAGGTGAGTAATTACGTGCAGGCCTTGAAGAAGGTTTTTCATCAACAGATGAAGTAACATCCGAGTTCATAATTTCATGGTTTTTTTCATCTAGTTTACCAGTTGTGCTGTTTTCCCGTCGGTCAGCTTTTAGTTTATCCTCTTTATTTTTTGTTTTTTCTGATGTTGTTACTTCCGATTTTGTTTCTTCAATTTTCAACGGATTTAACCTATCATCACGTTTCTTTTCTGAAACGTTACTTGAAAGTTTTACTTTAAATTTCCGACTCTTTCCCAGTGAAGCCTCTACATCTTTTTTGGAAGCTGCCAAAGACTGAACATCCTTCTTAGGTAGGCCAATACTTTCTCCGTTCTTGGGTTGTCCAGAACCACTGACATCCTTCTTCACTGAAAATGATCCAACTGCATCCTTTTTCAAAATACCAGAAACCATCATATCCTTTTTCACGGGTCCAGAACCAAGATCTTTCTTTGGTGAAACTGTGACAGATAAATCTTTCTTTGGAGGTCCAACAGTTTCTGCATCTTTCTTTGGTGGAGTACTATTCTCTACTTCTTTCTTTGACAGTACTGAACCATCTCCATCCTTGGGAAGTTCAACAACTGCTCTTCCTTTTTCACGTGCTTTATTAACCGAGCTTGGAGGAATGTCATCGGACAGAGCAGTACGTGTTTTGGCACGAGTTTGTTTTTTCTGAGACCCATCTGAGTGTTCAAGTACTTTAGATTTTTGAGCACGTCGACTGCTTGTGTTACTGTCTGATGTTTTCTCACCTTTTCGGACATTGTAATCATTCTCTGAACTTTTGGCAGTTGCCATCTGGACTGTAAAATTTCCTCGTTTTTCACTGATGACAAAAAGAGGTTTATGTTTATACAAGAAATGCAAAGATTACACAGTTACTATTTAGATTCAATACATTTTCCAGCATTATTTCTAAGCTCAACAATAAGTTTTTACAATTAAACAAGCACAAAATACTAGCTTTAATATTTAAATTATATCCCTATTATATTTCAAGTCTTCTTAGTGGCAAAAATCGCAATCCGACAGGTTATGTGAAACCCTGGAGTATATTGAAAATATACAAAGTAGCTATATTAATCATTCTTGCTCGAAAACAGACTGACTAACATGGCACAATCACTTAACACCATTTCTTTGGTCACAAATCACATTACTACAAGTTTCCGGCATCGGAAACAACTCATGCCGACAGTTAAATTCGAAGCATCATACGCGGTTTAAAGGGCCACAAACATCAACCAAAAAAAAGTGATATTATTCCTCTCTCGGCAATTACCTCAGGTTACTCATCATGCGATCCACCTCGGCATCAACGGTTCAATCAAAAATTGATTAAAATATACACTTAAAATTATTTTGTTAACTCACCAATATAACACACGCTGTGCACCAAACACTCAGTAAGCCAACCGCCCGCGAACTCGCGCGCGATGTTCTATTGCTTTCCCGCGTAAATTCGTTGCGCTGGTGCAATTCAAAACGATTCCACAGCGTTGTAAAATATATATAAAAATTAAAATCAGAGCAACAGAGAATTACTTTTGAGTTATTGAAAGCAACTCACTTCTATGGTTAACTCTTAGATCAAACAACAATAATAGTTATTAAAATAATAATAATTATTATTATTATTATTATATTTCCTAATACAAATTATTTTTCACATTTATCAGATTTCAAGTAATATGCAAAATAACAAGTAGTGATCGCATTGTATAAAACCCATATGAACTAAACAAATCTAGGGCCACATCGAAAAAGAACTGCATGTTCGTCGATTGTTGCCCTTACAGGATAATATTTGTTTTACTTGACCTCAGGAATGTCTAGTAGGAAACTAATTTGAATTATCATAATTTATCTTATTTATAATATATACTGATTTCTATTACGAGTGAACATTCTCACAAAGAGTAATAACTCGTATCTTAATATTGATATTTACTCATTACTTATACAGAAAACCAAGGCATGCCGAGTCTCACAGATTTTAAGTTAAACAATTGAGTTGAAAATTGTTGTTTCTGAATTTCAGTTACTTGTTGTGATCAGTGGCATACATTTGGGGGTATCACCATACTGGAAAGTTTCCAAATAAATAAAATGTTAATTTGAAAAGCAATTTCATTAAATATAATAGATTTAGAAAAATAATCGTTTGCATTTGATACTGTATATTTGTTATTGTTATTATTATTGTTTTTATTATTATTATTTTTATTATTATTATTATTTTTATTATTATTATTATTTTTATTATTATTATTATTATTATTTTTATTATTATTATTATTATTACTACTACTACTACTACTACAACATTTATCCGAATATAAGTCGACTCTGAATATATGACGACCCCCTAATTTTGAAAAGACCTCCTTACAAGAGAATTTTCGTGATTTTTGTAAATTTTCAAATAATTTTTGCTATTTAGTCAAAATAAAATTGCGAATTGTCTAATTGACTAGTAATTTGGCCTTGTTCGCGAGAATGTTAAGACTTATTGCCTGAACAATCATTTGCTTTTCCTTAAAATAATCACATACATGGTTTTGTCACAAACCTAATCATCTCCACATTTATCAATGTTTCTTTCTTCTCAGTCCTCCTGCTATGCTGCGACATACTCGTATTCCGACGTTTTGGCCCCTCCAAGTTTTACGCGTTGATTTCACGTTGTTCTTGGTCTCGTCTGACGCCACCGAAGAAAATTCCTTTCAGGGTCAGAGTTTCTATCTATCCCGGACTTATTGATGATTCTGTTTCTACAACAGTCTGTTCTTTAACAGAATATACTTGAAATTAGCATCGTTTAATATTCCTGTGATCCAGTTGGGAAATGCGAACTCGTACACCTTTGACCTTCCATTTCGCGGGTAAACCGGGAAATAGCGGCAAATTTCCAAGTATGGGAAGTTTTTGAAAAGAAAATACATTTTATTATTTTCAATGGTGGGCTGTAGGATGCGCACGTCTATCAATGTGATGTTTACTTTCTCGCTCCGGAGTAGAGAGAAAGTTAAGTAATGCTGTGCGAAAAAACTGCGAGTATTCGGCAGAAAAACTCTTAATACAGGGTCCTGGTAATGTAGATAAAACCAGTTGCTAAATTTAGAAAATGAAATCTTCTAAGATGGGTCCTTGATACCGAAAAATCGATTGATGGCAAAACCGTCCGTCTGTCAACAACGCTAGCGGCTAAACCGTTCAGACGATTTCCTCCAAAATTGACATTCCCATATCGATCGGGCTGACATCGCGGCCCCTGGAATTTGAAACCGACGTTTTAATTTGGGGAGGTACTTTACATGGCGCACTTAGGACATTTTCCAAATATTTTTTAAAAAATGGCTCCATCGTTTTTGATTAAATTTTGTTGTCGTATAGTGTGAAGAAAGTTTAAGAGAATTGTACAGGTCTCATGAGCGTTGATTTCGAAAATTGCAAAAGATAAACATTTTTTATAGGCATCCTACAACTAAAATACTAAAGATATAGATTTTTTTTCCCTTAATGAAATCTGTTTCTTAAATATAGATTTTTTGAAATAAGGTGATGTACAATTTTTCAGAAATTTAATAATTTTTGAGTAAATTACGCTAAAAACTACTGGTGCTAAAAAGCACCACTAGTTTTCATTTCCATCTCTTGCAAAACCAAGATTCGGACTCGTTGGGCGTCGAACCATCGTGCAACAAACTCGGCATTAATTTTCACGGTACGTTTCACTTCACATAATGCAATCTGAGATTCTCTCTTTACCGGCCCATTCAAAAACATCGGTCTAAATTGCCTGGCAAATTCGCGGTGGATGCCGAGTATGCGATCGAAAAATTAATTACGTATTATAGATATACGCGATGTTTTTATTGCCTTCGTAGCGTTTTTTACGTATTTAATATTCACAACCACCTATTAGACAGGAAAATAAATTAATTGTATGAATGATGTACCCCGGCCCTGCCCCTCCCCGCCCTCAACCACCGTGGCCTGCCCTTCTCCGTCTCGTACGATTTCACCTGTCTTTCCAATATTTAACTTTTTTTGGCGTGTGCATTACGTTTCGTGTCAAATAGCACCAGAAGTTCAGTGTCTATGTAATTCTGCGTGTCTTGCGTAGTCTTCTACGCAATGCATCTTGTTATACTTACAATGTCTGATTCCCGTTCTTCGGCCAAATTTAATGTCTTATCTCATTAGCGGGTAATCTTTATGTACTTTTCCATCCCGACTATTGCATTGTGCCAGGAGGCCTTCTTTTTTTTCGTTAAAATCCTTTATTTTTCCAAAATCGCAAAAGTTCCATTTTTTCCTTAATGACATCTGTTCTTTAAAGACAGATCTTGAAATTTAATTACTCTAACTACACAAAAAATAATTAATTGCTCTGCGAACTTTCAACTAATTGACGGTGAGCGGCAGGACTCGCCCGCCTGGGGGCCGGCGTGCCAGACCGCGCGCCCGCTTGGGAGCTGGCTGGGTGCGGTAGATTTAAATGAAATGCACGGACTGCGAGAGCTGACTTCGATATTGTATTTTCTTCGATCAACAAAACAAAATAGTCTAATTAAAAGTATGCCAATACTTTGTTATGTTCATAAAAGTTCTCCATAAACTATCTCTGAATTACCATGTGTGTGTAATTTATACAGTATGTTGGTAAAGTAATTTTATCGTAGTACGTTAGATATCTTAAAGGAATCGCGAATTAAGCAATTGAAGCTCAATGTAGCCCAGAAGCTAGAGCATTTTTTTGACGCTCCAAAATTTGTATAATTTCTTTAGCGCATCAACTTCTAGACGGGATATTTTACAGAATTTACTGCAAAAAGAATCAACTTCAACTACGTGGGAAAATCTTCGTGCTATGCAATGGTCTGCTCGAGATCACGCATGCAAAATACTGATGAATCACTGGGAAAACATTGAAGATACACTCAAATGTATAGAAACAGATTTATCCCAAAAATCTTTAACTCGTTTTGAAGCTAAAGGTATCAAATCTAATCTTGAATGTTTGGAAACTACCTTTGTAACAGTAACAATATGCTGGAGATTTATTTTGGACCGATTAAAGTCTACCAATCAAAAGTTTCAAGAAGTCAACATCGATTTAAGTCAAGTAATTGAATTATACGATTTCTCTAATTGCTCTGTTTCAATCTAATCAAAACAATTTTGATTTTGAAAACACAGCAAAAGAACTGACAAACAATGATTCATAAGGAAACGAACGAAAAGAAGAAAGCTGCACTACGATGAATCAGGACAATATAAAAAACTGAAAGGTCGGGACTTCTTAGGCGTAAACGTCGTTTTAGTCATAACTAACAAGATAAGCGTGGAATTTGTGGTTGCCGGGTGTCCACTATTTGAGCGGACAGGCCGCTTTTTTCCCCATTATGTTCACTATTTTTTTCACAAAATAGTAGACTTTTTTTATTCAAAAGTAATAAGATGTAATGGTACGTATTCTAAATCTGCACAGTCTAAGGAATTAAGGATAGGAGAATCGCGTTTTGTCTTTTTTTTTTCATAAGTCAGAATGAGACAAAGATGGTATGTCCACTGAACTATTATTCGAAAAAAAGAAATTAATCATACTCAATTGTTTCAAACAAGTCATTTAATAAAAGTATATAAGTTTGTTTACGTGATATTTTCCTTAACTTGCATTTACTAATATTTTTATATTAAAATTTTTTTCTTAGTTGAATAGGTATGTTCTTAATATTTTCATATTATTATAACATACATGATGGTATGAATTTAAAAAATGAAGTGATTATTTTAATACGCCTTAAAATGTTTGTAAGAAAATATATAATTTATTGGAAATTAAAAAAAACAAAAAAAACTTACTTCTTAACCTCCCACCTCCGCTTGTCCGCTAGATTTTGGAAGCAGGCCTGGCAACCTATTTAAAAAGCGACGTACCTGCATATCAATGAAAAATTCAAGACTATTATCCAAATTGATAAGCTGACCATGGTTAATTCACGAACAGCTGCAGCAATTCACGAACACCATCATTTACATTCACAATTTCCCGAAGATATTGAGGAAACTATTGTTAGCAAATTATTTCAATTGAAATCACATTTAACAATACTCAATTCAAAAATCAATCCAATGAATTCCATTTCACTAAGCAAATGATTACGTGAAGAATTACAAAATGTCTACTCACGTGTAGACATCCGTTTGTTTTTATGTACAACTTCTTCCAATTGCACAGCGGAACGTTTATTTTCTTGCTCAAAAATAATAAACTAGTAGTTCTAAAACAGCACGTACTTTTTCGCCATTAGTAATGATCGTCGCAAACTTGAGAGCGGACATGAGATTGTCATTTTATTTCAGAATGTTCATGCGAAACTTCCGTTGCAGACATTTTTCTTCGAGCATAGTTTATTCCAGGAATAAAGGACAACTCCATCAGGGAACAATTGCTACAAACGGAAACAAAGTTTTGAAGATAGTGACTA